GGGGCAGGGTGGAGGGGGCCAGGGTGGAGGAGGCCAGGGTGGAGGGGGGCAGTAAGTGAAGCCCTGAGTCAAAGTGTCTGTGATGGAGTCACTGAACTCACTTTATAAATGTTTACACAGGAAATAAACCAGTCTGACCTGAACTGGACCTCTACCAGTTTAACTAGAACCGGTTCTGACTGGTCTGCTCAGTACATTGGTTTATTGACTTGATGACTTGTTAACACACCCGGTGAGTGGGCGTGGTCAGTAAAGACCAGGAGTTCCTGTTGGCTACGAGGGCGATGACATCAGCAGTTCACTGTCTGTCGTCTTTTTTCCAGAACACCTGTTGAACTGTACAAGTCCTACCTGTCCTGGATGTTGGAGCTAAAATTCCTACCAGAAGAAAACAGTGTGGAGGAAAAGGAGGAGACAAGGAAGGTGGAGGTGGAGGAGCAGGTGGAGCTCAGCCTCACAGGTAACACACACACAGGGCTGGACTTCCTGTCTGTGGCTCAGCAGCTGTGGTGTGAACCTTCTGACATGATTTACTGCTGATCATCACTGTAATCAGGAGCCACAAACTCGTTAACATCTGAATGTCCTTGCCCCCCTCCCACCCCCCCGCCCTCCCACAGCTGTCAGTCTCAGAAAGTCCAGAAAGTCTGTGTCAGTGCGACCACACAGACGTGTCTGTGGACATGATTGGTCTGTGCTGCTAATTATTAAGCTAACATTATATTGTCCTTCAGAGGCAGCTGTTAAACAAGGTTCCCAAAGTAGGGGGCGCACCCACCAATACATGTCCATGTCAGTTGTCCAATGTCAGTTGGACTCCATCATTTTGTCCAGTTCTTTTTTCTCCCTGTTTTCTGCTTCCTCTTCTTCTCTGCCTCACCCCCTCCTCCCTCCTCCCCCCCCTCCTCTTTCTTTCACCTCTCTTTCAGTGTTAAAATAGAACATGTTAGAATCTTTTTCCAGAAAACCATAAATAATAGTTCTTCTTCACCTGAGGCCACCGTGTCTTGAGGAATCTGTTCTGGAGCTGATAAATATTCCCGCCACCTTCTCCGGACTTTTCCGCCGCGTGCCAATTACAACAGGTTGCAGCGTTTCTGCCCCACTCGTGTCTTTGAATTTGGAATGAGCTGACGGTGTGTGTCCATGAATGATGGAGGAGCTGTTTTACCACGGTGAAGTCGGCGGCGCTGCGGGGGTTAATGTTCCAGATCAGGGGCCTCGTGTACGAACGCTGCGTACGCACAAAAACCTTTCCACGCTCACGTTCAGGCGCATCAACAATAACCGAGCGTGGAAAGGTGTCACAGTGGGGCCTCGAGCCAGGGCTTTGTCAGTGTTTACTATCCTGACGTCTTCACACTCTGTTCCACATCCTCCACCTCACCATCGAGGATCAGCTCCTCTGGGATTCAGGGTTTTTTTCCTAATTCTTGATGAATTCTCATGAAGATCGTGGGATTCACGGCCCATTTAAATATATTTACATATGTATGTGGGGGCGTGGCCGGGCACTTCTACAGGTTCATTGACATGTTCCGACGACACGTGCGTTCACACTTTTACACACAAGGAGTTAAACCGACCAACAAACGTTTGTCTTCTGTCTGTTCCACTCCTGATGTTCACTCTGGGTCTGTGGTTTTTCTTCCTCAGCTCAGGAAGAGGAGTTCCATCGCTACTATGCATCGCTGTTTGCTGTACCTGTCAGCGGGGGCAGCACTGAGGCTCCAGTGAGATCACCTGGACACCACCTGGTCGTAGAAGTCCTGGACGAGGTAGGAATGACCGCGGCCAATCACGTCTCACAAAGCTGCAGCTTTTCTCCCTCTTGGTCTCATTCATGTGAAATCTCCATTTTCTCTTATTTTTCTACAGTTGGACGGAGACGGAAACCATGGAAACTCTGAGGACCAGACGGAGACGAACGCCGCCACAAAGTAAGAAACAGTGACACTGACCTGTAGGTGTCAGCATTTCTTCCGTGAGTGAAATTGGAGAATCTCACTCTTCACGCAGGTTGGACTTTTCTGAGCCGTCGTCCAGCGCCAACACAACACCTGGGTCCACAACAGCGCCACCCACTGTGGGGTCCTCAGGCCGCAGCTCCACTGTTCACAGTCCGTCACAACTGAAACCTGAAACCACAGATAAACTCCGCCCTCCTGGGCCTCCGACTGCAGGAGCAGGAGGTTTGATGAAAAGTACGTTTGTTTTCTTCTACAGACGAGGAAGAAATCTGAGCGTTGATAAAACCAGCTCTTTATAAATATAACTAAATACCACAGGATTCTAATGAGTGTTTGGTCAGAGAACAAATGTATTGAAAAACTAAGCCGTGTTCAGTCCAGGTTCAGACGACTTCTGGCTCTGATGTGGTTCAGATCAAATGTAAATTCAACACTAACTCAGATCAGAGTGTTTGTTACCGAGGAGCGGCTGCTGCACCACCGCACCGTGGAGCCCAGGAACACAGCCTCGCCACAGGGGGGGGCTGAAGAGGGATTTTAATGAATCAGCTCAGAGTTCATCACTGATGAGCAGGAGCTGCAGCCGCTAGACTGAACGCACCGCTGACGTCTGAGGCTACTGAGGCTACTGTAACAGCTGAATGTCTCACAGCATAGTGCCACCTACTGTATTAGAGTGTGTAGTGTCTTGGTGTGACCAGTGACTTTTTGAGAACGCAGCCTAATCCTCACTGCATTCATTTTTTATTTGACCTGAATTGTCACGTTTTTCTACGGATTCTCCATACTCTGGTGCTGGTCGTCGGTCGTTGGTCGTCGGTCGTCTTGGTTTTTTTTTTTTCTTGTTGGACATGTACATTTATACGTTTGTGGCGTCAGTCACGAAGACACGTCCTCCACCTGTCTCTGCAGAATGATGTATTTTAAGATGCAACATCAATGTTGTGAAAATGATCTTCATTTTTGTCTTTTCGTGTAGCTTCAGCCTCTAGAACTGTGACATCACCACACGGGGCTGTGAGGTCACCGAGGACAACGTCCCAGGAGAACCTCCGTTCCTCCGCTCGTGTCTGCAGATCTGATTGTTTCAGCAGCTCCAAACTTATGTCGTCATCTCCTCGACCTCAGGACCAGATCCGTCCGAACTCTCAGCGTCCTCAGTCTTGTTGTCCTTCACCGGAGCCAAACCAACGTCGCTGGTCTTCTTCGTCCACTCGCCCCTCACTCAGGTCCACGTTCACGATCTCACCGTTCAGCTCAGCTCAGTCACCTCTGCTGCCCAGAGTTCACACTCCCACCGCGTGTCCCTCAGACCGCTGTCTGTCCAACACGTCCTCGGTGCTGAGTTTCCCACGGTCCCCGGAGCCCCCCCTGCTGCAGACCCCCCCACCAAACTCACAGCTCACAGCGGCTTTAACACCAGCGTCCAGTCCGACCACGTCGTTATTTAACGAATCCCCGTCTGACGCCAGTCTTAGGCGTACCTCCACCACAACAGATGGGGGCGCTGCACCTCCTGCCTCCTCCACCTCTGGCGGCCATGATTTAACTGAACATGGCACCGCGCCGATCACAGCGCCGCCATCACCGCCGTCATCACCGCCGTTAAACATGAAGCAGGAGGAGGAGCTGCTGATTGGTAGGTGAAGAACAACAACAAGCTCTGAGAGAGTGTGTGTGAGAGAGAGAGAGAGAGAGAGAGAGAGAGAGTGTCAAGGTCACAGTGTAGAGTCCGTGGAGGCAGAAAGATGATGTTGGTTCAAAGCCTAATAAATCAAGGACGTTCTCAGTGACCGTGTCTCTGTGTCTCGTTAGGACAGCACTGTTAATGAAATGATGTTTTATATCATCTAAATATATGTTGTTGTTGTTGACCCCCCACCATCCACCCCCGACGACGACCCCCCCCACGCAGACAGCGAGGATGAAATGTCCTGTGATAGTCTGGGTCTGACTTTTCACGAGGAAGACTCCTCAGAGGAAGAAGAAGAAGACGAAGAGACGCCGGGACGTTCACCCAGAGCAACAAACCAACATCCCTCTGACGAGAAGGTCAAAGGTCGTCACAGTGATGAGCCACAACAGCTGTCACACGGCTCCACGGTAACAGATTCTCTGGAAGAATACCTCGTACACTAGTACTTACAAGTATTTGAAATTTTAAAACCATGGAGAGAGAGAAAAGAGAGTGAATTGACAGAGGACTGAGGACTGAGGACAGAGGCTGAGGACGTTGTTTTGTGGTTTTGTAAAAGTTAACTACGGTCCATTCACTGAAATCCTGATTTTTTTTCCTCTTCTTCTGATTCTTCCTGTTCTAATTCCCGTCTTTGTCGTGTTTTTCTGTCATTAATATTTGGTGACATTAATCAGACAGCGGTCAGTGGGTTCTCTGCTCCAGCTCCATTCTTCTGACTCTGTCTCTCTCTCTCTCTCTCTCTCTCTCCCCCCCGCCCCCACCATCATTTGTGCTCCTCACTCCCCAGTGATTTCCTCTTATTATTCCCGCTCCTTCTTCATTGTCCTCCGTCCAACATGGACCAAACATTTTACATTTTCCTCATTTTACAGCCGTCTCACAGGGGGGCACTTGCGTGGGAACCCCCCCTCCCCCGACCCCCCAGGGTCTGTGAAATACTGTGAGCTGCTCCAGGGGTTAATTAAAAATCAATTCATCAAGTGGAAACAAAGGGAATGAGGAGGAGGAGGAGGAGGAGGAAGGAGCTGAACCTGAACCTGAATGAAAGTGTCTTTAAATAATGTCCAGGTTTTTAACGTTCCTCTTTGTTGAGTTGAACTGATGGGATTGGTAGTTGACTGGGATTATCAGTTAGTTACAGTAACTAATTTAAACCTTGAACACCATCTCCATCTCCATGTAGTCTCCCCTGGTCTCACCCCTGACTCCCCGTCTCTCCCTCCCTGTGTTTCCGTTGTCTCTCAGCTGATTCAAGGCTGGAGTGACGGGTCAGAACCGCAGCAGTTCTGGGACGTCAGAGACCGGTCTCCTCAGTGTCCAGATCCCAGTCCTGGTTCTTCAGATGAAACACGGCACACACCCTCAGGTAGGACCAGAACAGACCAGACCAGAACAGACCAGACCAGAACAGACCAGAACAGACCAGAACAGACCAGACCAGACCAGAACAGACCAGAACTGTTTGTGGATGACTTTTATTTTCTCTATTTCTGTCCCAGTAATAAATAACACCAGGAACCGACGGCTGCTTTTTCTGCCTCCACAGATTAGATTTTAAAGATTACCTGGGCGTCCAACTTCTGCCTGGAGATTCTTTCCAATTTGAAAGCGCTATTCATATCACGACGGCCTCATAATAGGATTTAGAACAAATATGTAAAAAATGTAGCGCTTTGAGGAGAGATGAAAATGAGTTTTAAAACCCAGAGGAGTGTTGGGATGTGGGACAACACTGAGGCTTCACTGCTGGGGGGCCGAGGGAGGCTGCTGCTGGTGTGTGTGTGTGTGTGTGTGTGTGTGTGTGTGTGTCCTTTACAAAAAAACATATTTGAACATACGACAGTCCTGTCTTCTGCTGAAGTGATCGTTAATGTTCAATGGAAACTGTATTTTAACAGAAGCTACAGAAGTGTGAAGTTACATCATAAAGAAGAAGTGAGTTTAAATTCAACATGTTTTTTACTAAACCACTAAATATAAGTTATACTTTTCTTTGTCTGATTCTAAATTCCTGATTCTTTTATTTTCAAAAGACTGTTTCAAGTCAAAACAAAAATTCATTTGTATTTAACAAAGTCTGTCATCACATCAGACCAAGTGTCGAAAACTACGAAGAAAATGAATGACCCCAGCGGTTGACCAGCGGTGGACCAGCGGCTGACCAGCGGTTGACCAGCGGTTGACCAGCGGTTGACCAGCAGTTGACCAGCTCCAGGTCTTCCTGGTCGTTAGCGTCACACACACACACATAAACACACATTATTATCAGATAACCATCTCATCCGTCCACTGCGTCGTCGTACTGAGGAGGGACGTTCTGACCAATCAGAGACAATGAGTAGTTTCTCTTCTGCTCTTTGTCTCCCTGACGTGACATCATCAACTTCCTGTGGTGTCAGGGCTCAGGGTTGTGTCCATTTACTGCCAGGCCTGTGTTAAGTGAGAGGATTTGACGAGGGCAGGGCTGCTGTCCTGCAGCCGGCCGCTCCTCACACCCCCGTACTGTCTGTGCCGCCGTCGTTAAAGCTCCAAAGTTAATGAGAGAGAAAGGTTAGAGAGGATGGATATCACCTTGACAACACCGCACACTCATCCCCGTCCCTCCTCTCCTCCATCTGTCTCCTCTCGGCTTTTTTTAGGCCAGGCTGAGGTCCAAAAGGTTTAATATGACTCGTCTTTCACCTCTCTCCACCTCACTCCTCGTTTTCTCTCACTCCCTGTCAACTGGTCAGTCAGAAAATGAGATTGTTAGTGTGCAGTTCCAGAGCTGAGGGAGGGGGGGGGGGGTGGGGGGGGGGGGCAGATGGATGAAGAAGGCCTTGTGGCAGTTGAAGTGTGAGTCGACAGGAGCAGGAAGCTGAGCTGAGGAGGAGACGGACCAAGAGTGATGTCTGGACAGGAGTGACGAGTCGATGTCAGAACTCAGGATGAATCTTCTCAACGGCAGTTTGGTTCATCACTCTCCTGGTTAACTCCTCTGTTGACTAGTAGTGTTAGTTAAGGCTGTGGAATGATGTGGATTCTCTGGTTCAACTGTTCAAATAACAGAGGACGGAGGGTTCGAGGCAGTAAGAAGAGAAGATCCTACAGTGAAACACTGACACAAGACTCGTTGGTCGTTAATGCAGGGATGCTAGAACAACAGCGTCCACAGGGGGTCAGTGTGGAGGAGAATTCGTGGAACCTGAACTTTGTAGTTTGGATTCTTACATCCAACCAGACGTGACTTTGATCTGCCAGATCAAAGCAGAGAAGAACCACATCAACACCTGGTTCTTTATAGGTTCAACTCCCAAAATGATGGAAAACCAGATGCAGCCGCGAGAAATTCAAACGCACTCCACCCTGACATCCAGCAGGGGGCAAGTGGCTGCAGGTGAACTGGGAGCCTATGGTGTGTGTGTGTGTGTGTGAGCAGTACAGGTGATTTTGGGGGCGAGGCCGTTGAGGGGGGGGTCTGGAGGTGGTCTCAAGTCAGCAGGTCTGGACGGAGGTTCAATCTGATCCAGACAGATCCCCCCCCCCCCCACCCCACCCCCCATCGACCCCCCTCAGACACCACCTAC